GCAGTAACATACAGTTCTTCTAAAATCTGGACATGCAGCGTCTCATTCTGAGGACGCCGCCCTCTCAGCGCAGCTCCCCTGTGACTCCTTCCACGCTGGTCAGTCTTCATCCCTGAGCAGCATCCCTGTGTCTGGACATCCGAGAGCCCTGCGGCTCCATCCTCAGGCCTCTTCTGCTGTCTTTCCCTTCTGCGTCCCTACCCACATGAGCTCATTTAGCCTCCAGCATTAATGTTAACAGCATGTAGTTGGCTTCTCACTTTGTGTCCCCAGACCACCCCCATGAGCCCATGCTTGTTCTTGGCATGGCAATCTGCACACCTACCCTAGGGCTTCTGAGGGACACCAGTGTCATGGATGATGTCACTCACATGACCATTCAGGACAAAAGTCTGGAAGCACCTTTGACTTCATTCTTTCCCTCCTTGCTTCCCTATCTCCCTTCCTTTCTCCCATCAAATGCTTTGGGAGGTACCTTCAGAATCTGTCGGATTTCTACTTGTCACTGCTTTTCACTCTTCCTTTAGGCTGAGCCACCTAAGGGAATGCTTCTCTTAGGAACCGGGGCGGCTTGGCTTATGGGATCAGTGAAAGCAGGGAGAGCTTCACTCTCACTGCTTGTGTGGGACAGTGGACATGTTTTTGGAGCATATTCTTCTCCGTATGTTCTCACGCCCTGCATGCTCATTTCATGCAGGAGTCACTTAAAATATTGCATCTTTAGAGAGGCCTTAAAGACTAAGGAAATGGCACCTCTTTTCTTTACCTGGTTGTGTTTTATTGTAGCTCTTATCACTAACTGATGGCATGTATATATATATACACACACACATATATAGATGCCTATGTGTACATGTGTGCATAGATAGATGCGTATATACACATGCTCGTGTGTGCATATAGATAAATTCTCAGACTGCAAGGGTCTAAAAGTTTTCAGTGGTTGTCACTGTTTTTCTCATAAGCCTTTTTATTGTAGTGATTTCAGCTGCTGCTATTTTGGTGCCTTTATTTAACAAGGAGTCATCTTATATAATCTTAAAAAGTCACCAACAGGATCCTTTTCTATATTGATATACACACACTTGGTGAAAGAAAGAAATGAATAAAATAATTTCTTTAATGTGTCTTTTTGCATCAGGTTGACTTTCTCAGGTTATTCTGAACCATTGAGTCTTTTGTTTGTAATTTGAAGTAGCATCTGTGTTTCTAGAAAGGTGTAAATTAATTACTTGTATTGAAATTACCAGAGAACCACACTGCTAGGAATGAGAAGCCCTATCGTATCCTTTAGGATATCAGATTTTCTCCGAGTGACACACAATTGTGTGTGTGTGTGTCACTGAGGGCCAGGTGTGGTCTTATAGGTTCCTACATTGTCTGAGCTCCTTGAGAGCAGGGACCACGCCTTCTTCACCTTGTTATCACTTCCACTGGGTGACTCAGCACACTGTCGGGGTGCATGAACATCTACTACACATGTTTCTGCTAAAACCCAACACGTGCACTCCTGGTGTTCTGCAAAACCAGGTACTAAAAATATGAGACCTTTATGAGAAACATAAGGACAGGGACTGACCACTCAATACCTGTGTGGCTTTGTAACCGGAGTAGTACGAAGAACAATTCTTGATTTCTAGGTACCCATGCAGCCTGGCTGGAGGCTGTGTGTTACAAATACGGATGACAAATGACCAAGTGAAATGCTGTGGCACTTCATTAGCGCCCATTTGCCGGTGCTAGGAAAATGCAGATCCAAGTCAGTTGTGTGACCATGGGCTGCTGTCCAAGTGGGGACAGGAGGCTTTGCAACCTACCAACAGCCCGGGAGTCATACTGGGCTCCTAGCACACCCCTCTGGGCAGAGGGCTCTGTGGCCAGGCTCTCTTTATAAATCTTTTTATAATGGAGCTGGAAAAGGCTTCGTTTGTCAGTGCACCAGCTGAGCAGAGAGTTTTCTTCCTGCTGGAGGTTGTAATTCTGTTTACAGGCTTTTCTTACCTGGAGAAAATGGCAGAAGCTGTAGTAAAAAAGACTATATTGTCTTTTGTTTGAAGCCTCAGAATTTATTGCCAGATAAAGGCAGAGAATGGATTTGCAACCACGTGGATTCCATTTTCTGGAATGCATATCTTGATGCTGCTCAGGACTGAGGAGGAACAGCTTTCTGGAGGTGAGAGGCTTGCTCTGTGCAGGGCGAGGTGATGATTGATTGGAGGCTGTGTCAGGGCTCTTGGCTGGGGAGATGTTAGCATTAAAGGCTTTAGCTCGAGCAGCCTGATTTTGAGTGTTGCAAGAAAATTAGCATCCCTAGGCTACATGTGGGCAATGCTCCTTATTTTAGTAAAGGTGCAGTAACGAGGGAGTATCTGCCAAAAAGATATGTGGGCCTGTCCACCAGCCTGTGTCTTCTGTCTGGTCAGATGGAAACACTGCTCCTCTGATTCTCTCCTTTGAGAAAACCAGGACGGCCCTGCGGAGGCAGAGTGGGAGAGAGAGTTGCAGCTGAATTTTTTCTTTGCTTCCTAAACAGAAATGCCTAAAATCAAGAAGAGTTTACATGTAGTGTTGCAGTCCCGATGAATGAAAGCTATACTGAGAAAAGAGAACATTTGGGAAATTCTGAAGTAATCTTGCCATCATCTTTTAAAATTTTTTCCCCTTGGCATGTTTCTTTCTTTTTAAATAATAGTTTTATTAAAATACAATTCACACAGTGTAAAAGTCATCATTCTGAAGTACGCCATTCTGTGGTTTTCAGTATAGTCACAGAGTTTTGTAACTAACATCACTATCTAATTCCAGGGCCTCTTCGGCACCTACTCCTTATCCTCAGGTTCCAAGCCTCTGGAAGCCTGTGATCTACTCTCTGTCTCTATGGATTTCTGTTCTCTACCTTGCATGTGAATGGTTCCATAAAATACGTGCTCTTTTGTGTCTGACTTCTCTCATCCGGCACAATGTTTTCAAGATTTACCCATGTTGCGGCATGAATAAGTACTGCATCTCTTTATATGGCTGCATGGATTCACCTCATTTTTTTTTTTTATTCATTCACCAGTTGATGGACATATGGGTTGTTTTCACTTTTTGGCTATTATGAATAATGCTGCTGTGAACATTTCTGTATAGGTTTTTGTGTGGAGGTATATTTTCATTTATCTTGAGTGCTTACCTAGGTGTGGAATTGCCAGACCATATGACAACTCCATGTTCAACACCTTGAGGAGCTACCAAACTATTTCCTAAAGCAGCTGCACCACTTTACTTTCTCCCCAACCATGTGTAAGGATTGAAATTTCTCTGCATTTACACTTGTTATTAGCTGTCTTTTGATTCTAGCCATCCTGGTGAGTGTGAAGTAGTATCTCATTGGAGTTTTGATTTGCTTTTTCCTAATTGATTGGTCATGTAGAGTATCTTTTCATGTGCTTATTGGCCACTTGAATATCTTCTTTGGAGAAATGTCTATTTCAATCCTTTCCCCATGTTTATATTTGAGTTGTCTCTTTATTGTTAAGTATTCTTTATATATTCTGAATCTGAAGCCTTTATCAGATATATGATTTGCAAATGCTGTTTTGCATTCTGTGGGTTGTCTTTTTACTCTCTTGCTGGCGTTTTTGACATACAAACAATTATAATTGTGATAAATTGCAGTTTATTTTTTCCTCTTTGAGCTTTTAGTGCCATATTTAAGAAACTATTTATTCATATGTGGTCATAAAGATTTATTTTTATGTTTTATTCTTAGAGTTTTATAAATTTAGCTATTATATTTAGCTCTATGATTCATTTGATGTTAGTTTTTATAAAAGGTTTAAGGTCTGTGTCTAGATTCAGTTTTTCAGCACTGTTTGTTTTTTTTTAAAAAAAAGCACTTATCATTTACCCATTGAAATGTCATGACACTCTTGTCAAGAATCAATTAACCATAAATGTAGGGACTTACTTTTGGACTGTCACTTCTAATCCATTAATCCATATGTTTGTCCTTATGTCACTATTACACTATCTTGATTAATATAACTTCATAGTAAGTTTTGACACTAAGAAGTGTAATTCCTCCAATTTTTTTTTAAGATTCTTTTGTCTATTAAGCATGTCTTGGATTTCTTGGTGAATTTTAGGATCAGCTTGTCAATTTTTAGAGATTACATGTAATCTATTTACCAATTAATCAGTCTGTTAATATATCAGTTTGGAAAGCGTTGCTGTCATAACAACACTGTCTTCCATCCATGAACATGGGATGTCTATCTTTTTAGGGCTTCTTTAATTTCTTTTAACGATGTTTTAGTAGTTGTTAATATACAGATCTTACACACCTTCTGTTAAATTTGTTTTTAAGTATTCTTTCTGGTGCTATTCTAAAGTATGTTTCTCGTAATAACATAGAGTTGTTACTCATTCAACCAATTCCTGCCATGTGAATGGAATGTTTAAACCATTTAGTGTAATTACTGATAATGTTGAATTTATGTCTGCCATTTTACTATTTGTTTTCCATGGATCTTAATGCCGCTTGTGTTCGTCTCCTCTCCTGTTTTGCCTTCTTTTTTATTAGTTTATTTTATCCTCTTTCAATTCTATTTTTGTTTTATTATGTACTTTTGAGTTAGTTTTTTTCATTGTTGCCCTGAAGAGCAAGCTTTTCTGTGGATTTGCACCTGTCTCTATAGGAGACTCACGGGGCAAAGCTGAATGGCTGTGATTGAAAAGGAGGGGACAGAATGAAGACTGAGGGACAGTTTGTTATCTCAGAATTGTCTGTGTTGATGGATTTATCCATTAACTTCTTGGCAGATTTTTTTTTTTTAACATAATAAACCTCAGTTTTTTTCTCCAGTGTACTATTATGCTTCACAAATCTCTGACTGGATAAGATTTGTAATGATGTCAGTAGCCTTTCCTCTGGGCTTGAAGGTGAGAAAGCCTTTGTATCCTGCTCCTCTCTTCCCTGCTCCTCTAACTGCTTATGTCCTTCTGTTGTGTCTTAGGCATCCAGCACCCTGCGGACTCTGACATGCCCCCAGCCTCCCCCAGCTCTGCAGGAAGCCCTGGTGCCAGCGACCTTCTCCTGCTTCTGCCTATGTGCGCCTGACCTGAAGGCAGAGCCGTCCGAGTGTGCATAAGCACAGCAGGACACCAGGACCTGGCCTGAAGATATTTCCTCTCCTCCCCTCTGGACTTCTCAGAGGTAACTTTGAATTTGGAAAATGAGGGCTTGCAAACCTTCATTGATCTCTTCTTAGTGGAATCTCAGGCCATTACTGGTAGGCCTGCCTGGGTGGATTTTTCTATACCTCTTAAGCCACGCCGTATAGGCAGTTTTCTAGTAGGTTTCCCTGGAACAAATTTTAAGATAGTGTTCAACACATTATTTTGTGCTATTGTAGTCATTTATACTTTGGAAAGATTTCCAGGCTTGTTCATTTGCTGCTTATAGCAGTCTTTTGCGTCTCCTGTTTTAGATCTCCCTGATTCACTAGTGCATTGAGAACACATGGATTGAGCTGCTGCACGTGCCAGGCACAGCTCTAACGCAGAACACAGTGGAGCAGCACCAGTGCCTGCTCTCATGGAGATTCTGTGTTTTGGGGAGTACAGTGGAGGATGGAGTAGGGGCAGGCAGAAAGATACAGACAGTTTCCATTTGACAGTAGCGGAAGCAAATTTTATGCTATGCAACAAGATCTAGATATCGTAGAGAAAAGAAAAAGCAGACCATGTTTAGTGGGATGGAGCAGGTTATAGTTTTAAGTGGGTGGTCAGGGAGGTCTCTAAAGGTGAAATTGAACATGGACTTGAAGGGGGTGCAGGAACTAGCCACTTAGCATCTGGGCAAGAGCGCTGTAGAGAGAAAGACTGGTAGCTGCAGCGTACTGACAGCTGGAGGAGCACACAGGCCAGGGTGGCTGGAAGGACTCAGCACGGAGCCATGAGTTGGGGCTGGCTGGGAAGTAGCAGGACCTGGCTGTGCCTGGCATTGCCGGCTGTTGGGAATTCTAGGTTCATGATGGGAAATCAGTGTAGGGTTTTAAGCAGAGAAGCAGGGTCTGTTTCATTTTAATAGGCTTATCCTGGCCTCCACATTGAGAATCAAGTCTAGAGGGTGGAGGACAAAGGTAGAAGGTGGAGACTGTCTTGAAGGAGATGTAGAAGGTAGAAGACAAGGCCAGAGTCTAGGAAACCATCCCAGAGGACATTGCAGAGGGTGGAGGACAAGGGTAAAATCCAGGAGACCATTTCAGAGGCCATTGCAGAGGGTGGAAGACAAGGCTAGAGTCCAGGAGACCATCTCAGAGGTCATTGCGGAGGGTGGAGGACAAGGGTAAAATCCAGGAGACCATCTCAGAGGCCACTGGAGAAATCTACTGTCGTAATCCATACAAGAGGCAGTGGGGCACACTGGTGATAGCAGCAGCAGCAGGGAAGAGTGGCCACATTCTGGATACAGCTTGAAGACAGAGCCTTTACCATGTCCTTACAGAGTGGTTGTGAGTATGAGGAAAAGGGGAAAGCCTGTATTGATTCCAGGGACTTTAGTTTGAGTCACTAGATGGAGTTGTCACCATGGAGATGGAGTAGTTTGCAGCTAGAGGACGTTTGGGTGCAAAAAGGGATTCAGAGGCTGAGCGCAGTGGTTCATGCAGGAGGCCAAGGTGGGTGGATCACCTGAGGTCAGGAGTTCAAGACTAGCCTGGCCAACATGGAAAAACCCCATCTACTAAAAATATGAAAATTAGTGGGGCATGATGGCAGATGCCTAATCACAGTTACTTGGAAGGCTGAGTTAGGAGAATTGCTTGAAACCTGGGAGTCAGAGGTTGCAGTGAGCCGAGATTACGGCATTGCACTCCAGCCTGGGTGACAAGAGCAAAACTCCATCTCCAAAAAAAAAAAAAAAAAAAAAAGAGAGACAGATTAGAGTTCAGTTTTGAACTTGTTGAGTGCGGGAAGATTATAAGACACCCACATGGAGATGCCGAGTGGATGGTCCTATCTAGATCTGATCGTTTAAGAGGGCAGTCTGTGCCGGAGAGGTGATAGGAGTCTTTGGCCTCTGGTTGGTATTTCAAGGAATGAGATCAGATGAGACCCCCAGTGAAAGAAGAGACGAGCTCTAAGGACTGGGCCCTGGGACATTCCAGTTTCATGAGGAGCGGAAGACGACAAGCCAGGAAAGGAGACCAAGAGAGAAGAACCAGGGGGAAGCAGGAAAACCGAGAGTCTGGGGAGGAGGACTGCGAAGGGAGGCTCGGATCCACCGGGGTCAGCGGTCTGCTGCCTGTGGCAATACAAGCTGGATTGGAGAGAAGGGCTCAGGGGAAGGTGTGGAGATAGGGATTGTGGACAACTCACTCGAGCTGCTGCAAAAGGGAGCAGAGTCTGAGGTGACATCTGGTGGGGTAAAAAGCTTAGAATTAGTTTTCAGCTGGAAGCATTATCAGCATGTTGACATGGGGTGATTCAGTGGAGAGGAAAATATGGATTACATGGGATGGAGGTTGCTGAAAACACTTCTTGAGTAGGAGAGAGAGATGGGTTTGTAGACACGTGGAGTTACTGGCTTTAGGAGGAACGTGGATAGTTGTCAGTGGGGATGGATCAAATGACAGATACATGTGTGGGTGATGCTAGCAGGACACTCTGCAGTGCTCTTCTGATTGCCGACCTCCCTTTGTGAAGTGGGAGTCAAAGCCAGCATCTGAGCATGCCACGTGGAGGAGGGATTGGAAGTTTGCAGAGACAAGCAGGCAGCAGAAAGTCCTCTAGAGAGGAGGTGCAGAGCAGCCATCGGATGGCCTTCAGAGCCCACTGGAAGCTCTGGCCTCAGATTCAAAGAGCCACTCTGGGTGATTGAGTGCTTCTCCAGATAGCCCTGCGGGGGAGCGGATACATGCAGGAGGTCAAGAACTGAGAGATGTTTTGGCCAAGCTGAGAGGGACACAGTGAAAGTGTGTGGCCAGAGTTGGTAGTGTGTGCCGGGGAGACAGAATCCTAATCTCAGAGACCGCGGAGCCAGGGAGGTGAGGAGAAGGGACAGCGGGGCTGAGGGCGGAAGGAGCAGAGGAGGAGCCACTGGAGATGTGGGAGGGCGCTGGGTGCTGTGGGACCCGCAGTGGCACGGGCAGTGATCTGAGGTGGTGCGAGGAACCAGCTTATGGGGTGTCTGCAGGAGCCCCAAGTTCCAGCGTTCCTGCCTGCAAGCCTGGCTCGTCAGTCATCCTGGCTCCCATTTCATTGTCTGTACTTTAAAAGCGCTGCTGGGGAGATCTTCCCTTCCTACTCAGTTGCCTGCTTACCTCTTTGGTGATCCTGGGAAGGCATTGCTAAGGTGTCACTGTTGCATTTCCTGGCTGGGACACTGTGACCCAGATGTGGCCACCTTGAAGGTTGACATTTGGAGCTTTCCTCCCACTTCCTCTTCCATTCCTTGGAAAATAACTGCATTCCAGATGTATGTTTATTTTTTAATCTTTACTTTAGCATATTAGGATTATTGCATCTTTCCTTGCAGTGCACTTACTCGTCCCGAGATAGACTCCTCGGGGGTGAGGGAGACATGAACGTGCCCTGGAGAAAGCTCGTCACGAGGCCAAGTGGAATTTGTGTTCTCCCTGTGGGCCATGCCCACCTCCCAGGATGCTCTGTTTGGGAATCTGTCTCAAACAAAGTCCAAGAACTGTGAAGTGGCTTCATATTCACAACAGAGTCATGGTGAAGTGGCCAAAATACTAGAAAATGACACTCCGGCACATGCAAAGATGTTTCTTAATGGTTAGGATTTATAAAGAGAGATGGTTTTTGTGGACTATAAATCAGCCTCAATTCAGCCTTCTATGACTGAAGTCGTTAAATTTGAAATACAGGTTTTTGTTCTGTTCTGTTCTGTTTTGTTTTTCCCAAGTGGAAAATATCAGTAGTTCAAAAAGAAAAGAAATCTTTGATTAAGAAACTTGGCCTTGTCCTTGGCCTTGACCATCACTCAGCCTTGGGACCAGCCACGTCTGGGAACCTACAGCTTTGTGTGGCCGGCTCATTGCTGGTCTGGCTAGTTAGCCTTTAGGGCAAAGGTCATTTTTAAAGCATGAACCAGTAGCAAAAATATCGATACCTGTCTCTAGTTTCTCATGGTTTCAGAGTTGCTGACGTGGAGAAATGAGCAGTATTTTTAGAAATGGAAACAGAGATGCTGTCCTGAGATGCAGTGGCTGATAGTGTTGTGAAAATCCATCCGAACAACCACATTTTCCACATTGAGCTCAGTTACAGCTTTCTGGGGTTTGTTTATCTTTGTGTATAAGTGCTTCGGGCCATGTTCCTCCATGTACTGTGCTCTAGGCTACTATGTGAAGTCAGTCTGTTGCTGGGTGAGTTTTCTTTGAGCCTTCCCTATGTTTACACATGCCATATTGGAGGGGCAGAGAGAATACCAAGTGTCTCTTTTCTATGATAAGACAGATGTCTCTAGAAAGATCAGGTCGGCATTTAATGAGCATCCACTATGTGCAAGGCTAAATTGCACCCCGAGGATAAATGAGAAGACATAGGCTGACTTCTGTTTGTAAGAATGTGGTTTCTTTTGTTGATTTTTTTGTTGTTGTTGAGTAATGTTGACAAGCTGAGGATGTGGAATCCAGTTCCCAAAACTTGAGCACGGGCCAGAGTAAAAATAAGACAATGAGAAATGGATGCTGGTTGTTAGAAGAATTCTCACAACCAAGACAGCTTTGAGTCTGCTGTGAGGAAAGGGGAGGAGGAGAACTTGGCCCCTGGGACAGCAGGACTTGAGGGGGCCCTTAGAGCCTGGAGTCTGAAGATTTGCGGTTGGGAAGAGGTAGAATCTGTCTCCTGGGCAGGGAGAACCATTCAGATGTGTCAAGGATAGTGATGCGGTTCAAAACAAAAGGGTTCTGGATGGTTGATTGAGTGATGTTGTGCTTCTGGGATAAAGGGAAGAAGATTCAGTAGGAAATGTTGGGTCATGAGGCTTAACAAAAACGAATGTATTTTTGTCCTGATTTTAAACATGCAGTTCCTTTTGATCCCCAAAATTTAACAACAGAGTTTCATAGACACATGCACATACAATAATGAAAGAAATATCATGCCTGCTCTCAGACTTATAGCTTCATAGCTTCTAATTTTAGCTCCATTTAACACTGCTTTATTAAGTATTAATGAGAACACCAT